ATCTCACGGTAACTAACAGAGCAAGTACTCACTCTTTACTGATAGGATGGCATAAGCCATTCATGGGGGAATCCATCTCCATGACCCAAACACCTTTCAGTAGACCCTGTGTCCAACATTGGGGATCACTTTTCAACATGAGATTTGGAGGAGACAGACAGTTGAAGTATACATAATGAGATATATAGAAAGCATTTAGCCTAGAATTTGGCATGTGGTAAGAATGCCAGTGTCACTTACTTGATACTTTATCTTTTTTCTTCTCTGAAAGTATTGAACATCATTATTAATCCTATTTTTACTCCTAATTTCCATTTTGTTCTAACTTAATACCCTAATTTAAAGTAATATTAGTCTTAATTACATTAAGGAGTCAGTTTCAAGGAGTTTAAGATATTTGTTCAGGTTCACACAGTTACAGAAACTGGAATTTGCATTTAGTTTTTTTGGCTTAGACTTTCTATTCAATGTATGGTAGTCTGTTTTGTATTGCTGTAAAGAAATACCTGAGACTGGGTAATTTATATAAAAAAGAGGTTTATTTGGCTCATAGTTCTGCTGGTTGTACAAGCATAGCACCAGCATCTGCTTGGCTTGTGGTGAGGCCTCAGGAAGCTTCTATTCATGGCAGAAGGAGAAAGGAGAGCAGGAATGTCACACAGCAAGAGAGGGAGCAAGAAAGAGAGGAGGAAGTGGCAGACTGTTTAACCAACTATCTCTTGCATGGACAGATAGAGTGAGTACTCACTCATTACAACAGGGAGGGCATCCAGCCATTCATGAGAGATCTGCCCCTATGACCTAAATGCCTTCTACTAGGCCCTACCTCCAACACTGGGACTCAAATTTCAACATGTGATTTGGAAGGTACAGACATCCAAGCCATATCAAGTGCCATAAGAGAATAACAGATCAAGTGACAAGAAAATTTAAAAGACAGATTATCAAAAATGAACTTGAAAGGCATTTTAAAGAATAGATAGGATTTGGACACACAGAAATTTTGCAGGGGTAGAAGGGTGATGATTGGAAAGAGGTGTTTCAAATTTAGAAAACTTATTGGTCAAAGCATCAGAGACAGAAAGGCACAGGCCCCCACAAGAGAGCTCAGCACACAGGAGTGGGGACAAGGGTGCAGACCCAGGCACAGGGAGGAAGGGAAGCAGTTCTAGGAAACTCTGGGCACACATAAGAAGAAGAGGAATGCTAATGGACATGGAAATGGAGCGGTGAAGGATGAAGGGGAAACCCTGAGGAGTGGGAGCTAGAGGAAGCCTGGGAGGAACTTTCCTAGAAAGCTCCAATCAGATGAGCCCAAGTGGTATAGGAGGCCAGGTGTGGTGGCTCATGCCTGTAATCCCAGCACTTTGGGAGGCTGAGGTGGGTGGATCACCTGCCGTCAGGAGTTTGAGACCAGCCTGGCCAACATGGCGAAAACCTGTCTCCACTAAAAATACAAAAAGTAGCCGGTGAGCTAGGACAGCCTGTGGAATATTTAAGAGATGGCAAGAAATTGTATGCTTGTTTAACTGCAAACAACAGGCTTTTGTAGGTTTTTTTCTTTTATTTGCTCCAAACAAATTTTAATTTTGAATAATTTTTTCCCTTCTAAATTGTGTCTGTCCCTCCCATCCACCTGAAAAGTCTGACCTGCTTCCTGTGGGAGGTTGTCCTTATGTGACCACGTGGTAGCCCCCTCATTAACGCAGAGAACACAACAGTGAGAACGATGAGCAAGGGGAAGACAGGGTGGTACACAGGGAGCTGGGAGCAATAGGAGTGAGAAGAGCCCAGGAAAGATGTCCAAATGGGAAGGGGCAGTCCAGAATCCCAATGAGGAGGAGAACTGAGGACAGGCCGCACGTGTCTTTGCCTTGCATGTACACATCTTTGGGGTATAGGTTGGAAATGCAAAGCAAACCAATAAATGGGTGTTTATTGCCTGGCACAATGATAGGCAGTTTGGGTGTAAGAGAAAGGAAAGGCCAAAATCCCTGTTTGTACCTGAGCCTGGTAATTTTTATAGCTGGGAAAGGTGATGAATGTGTTCCTGTATTGTACTCGTGGTCTTTGTGTGCCTAGGCAATGAAGATACAAGAATAATAAGGTCTGGGTTTGGGGTTGAAGCTGGACAAACAGCTAAGGAAGAATGAATAGGAAGAATGAGCTGTCGTGACAGTGCCACCTTGAATTTAGCTTCCTAATTTCTCTAAGTGAGAACCAACATTTTTGTGCCTGATTTCTCAGGGCTAGTTTGTGGCTTGTAGATAGTTCATTGTCTAGTCTTCTTCACAAGTGGCTTCGATTTTAGATAGTAAGAACAGTGTAAGTAATCTTGTACTTCTTTCTGCCTGCATTCTGTCTTTAGACTTCAGTGCGCCTTTGACCAAGTCAGTGTGGTGTTTAGTCTTACTTAGAGGACTAAAGGAATTTCTGCATCAGAGTTAAGGAGTACTAATAAGAAACAATATGAAGAAATTACAGTGTCTGTCCCAACATTGTCTTTTTCTACCTCTTCATAAAAAACCTGAATTCTCTTTATTCTGTGCTTTGTGGCTAAATGTGCTTCATTTTAAAACCTGTATGGCACTTTACTGCTCCTTAATCCCAGCTGGATACAGTTTCTAAAGTAAGAATGTGTGACTCAGGGTTGGAAGTTTTCCAGGCGGAGCAATGAAAAATGTCCTCTGTGATTTTGGTTGGGTTAATAAACAAACCCATCCCAGAAAGGAAAGATAATTCAGGTTTTTCCTGTGAAGAGGTAGAAAAAGGATCAAATTGACTTTGTACTCAAAAAAGTAGCTTAAGCAGAAAGTCATTTGTTCTGTGGAATGAATAATGGCAGTTCGTTGTTCTTTCAGAGGTGTGCAAACTTTGTCATTTCAAACCCGATTCTTTTTTGGCTGCCTACAATGCCATGAGCTCCTGGAACTAGGGACAGGAAGGCAGAATGCTGCCGATGGCTCTCACGCAGGAAGCACATGTACCCCTTAAAGAGAGAACACACTTCTTCAAACTTGTTAGGTTCCCTAGTTTACCCAATGCTCATTTAACTGTTTTCTCAACTTACTCCATAACTACCACCCATTTTCAGAAGGAAAGCAAGAAAGTTGTATTAGTCTATTCCCACACTGCTATAAAGGAATACCTGCAACTGAGTAATGTATAAGGAAAAAGGTTTAATTTGCTCATGGTTCTGTAGGCTGTACAGGAAGCATAGCAGCTTCTGCTTCTGAAGAGGCCTCAGGAAACTTAGAATCATGGCTCAAGGCAAAGGGGGAGCCAGTACTTTACATGCCAGTGCAGAAGGAAGAGAGAGGAAGGGGAGGTGCCCCTCACTTTAAAACAATCAGGTCTCATAGCTCACTCACTATCACAAGAATAGCACCAAGGGGACGGTACTAACCCATTCATGGGAATCTACCCACGTGATCCAATCACCTCCCACCAACCCCCATCTCCAACACCGGGAATTTACAATTCAACATGAGATTTGGTGGGGACACAGAGCCAAACCATATCAAAAGTATATTCTAGCACTTAACCTATGTTTTGAAAGAACGACGACTCTGGCAAGCATGTGATGGCAAAGGGTTCAAGTGAAGACCCTCTCTCCTATCCCCTAAATAATCCTTTCCTTCTCTCTCCGGAGAGGAGAGGTGGAGAGTGAAGGGGGCAGGAAGTAAGTGCTCAATCCATTCTATCCCTCAGACATAGGGCTGTCAACTTTTCTCTGAGCCTCTGGTCCTGCCAGAAGGTACAGTGATGAGCTGGGCTTGCAGCATCTCCACTGCAAGGCTTGCAGGTTCTCCAGCCTGACACAGAAGTGCCTGGAGTACACGCAGGAGCCTCCTGAAGTAGATGGCACAATCCCATCCTCCAAACACCACCTCCTGCTTTTTATCACCTCTCAGAATACTCACAGGAAACCTTACTTAACACAAGCTCTTGCTCCAAACTGAAAAATGAAAGGAGAGATACATGCAGATCTGGCATCTAAATAACTTTCCCATCAACTATTCTGTAACTCTGAGCTAGACTTAGACTTTTAGAATCCAAGTCTCAGTGGCTCAGGATCCTAATCCTACCATAATTCCTTTTCTTACTCCTGCTTCCTTGTTCTTTTGAGAATGAAAATATCAGGAGATCAACGGAAAAGTAATGTGAGCAAATACAGTCATTTGGATTCTCTAGGCTGAGAATTTATGGTCTAAATGTTGAATGAGATATAAATCTTTGTCGGGCACACTTTGGGAGGCAGAGGTGGGTGGATCATCTGAGGTCAGGAGTTCGACATCAGCCTAGCCAACATGGTGAAACCCTATCTCTACGAAAAATACAAAAATTAGCCAGGCGTGGCAGTGGGTGTCTGTAATCCCAGCTACTCAGGAGGCTGAGGCAGGAGAATTGCTTTAATCCAGGAGGCAGAGGTTGTTGTGAGCTGAGATTGTGCTACTGCACTCCAACCTGGGCAACAGTGAGACTATGTCTCCAAAAAAAAAAAAAAAAAAAGAAAGAAAGAAAGAGAACAACAACAACAGACACGGGGGCCTACTTGGGGGAGGGGGTGGGAGAAAGGTGAGGATCGAAAAACTACCTGTTGGGTACTGTGTTCATTACCTGGGTGATGAAATAATCTGTACACCAAACCCCTGTGACATGCCATTTACCCATGTAATAAACCTGCACACATACCCCTGAAACTACTAGAAGTACCACATTAATAGTGTGCATCTCCTTCTTCCTGCCTTGCTACTTCACTTTTACTGTTCCATCTCTTAAAGAGGCACGTAAGGTAGAATATCAAAGTATTGAGTGTTCCCTCTGTTTGATTGCTGGATATCCACTGGTACACGTACACATCTTTGTGTCTACATGGCAGACTTACGTAAGTCACAATATTGTTTCTGGTGGATGGAACATAGAGCTTATATGACTTATCTGCAGTCCCTGTATTTTGTTTTGTTTTATTTTGTTAATTTTATTCATGTTTTGAATAGGTAATAGATGCACAAGGTACAAAATTCCCAAGGTGCAAGAGTTTACAGTGAAAAGTAAGTCTCCCTCCTCTTTGCCCCAGTAAATATAGTTCCCATCTTGAAAGGCAATCACTGCTCTTTCATTCATTCCACATTTATTGAGCACCTACTATGTGCCAGGTTCTGTTCAGGGCAATGATATGAAGCAAAATGACAAACCCTCCCTTCCCTCATGGAGCTTACATTTTGGTTACGAATTTCTTGTAATATTCCTTCAATAGTATCTTAATTTTTGTATGGCCAGCCCACTGTGTTAGTTAAAAGAAGGGCTCTAGAGTAACATCAAGTGATTTTGAATCACATTTTTTCTGTATTCTAAGTAAACTTGGATTATTTATTCCACCACTGTCAACTGTGTTTTCTTTATTATGAAATGGAAATAACAATTCTGTTTTATAAGATTGTGAGAATTAAATAAAATAATGCATATAAAACACCAAACACAGCGCCAAAAACATAGTAAATGCTCAATAAATGTTAGTGTTAATTATGATAATGTGATACGATTCTACTGTTCTGTAATGCAGACCAGAAATAAAGGATTTATTTTCCCAATAGTTTTCATTTCCTCTCTTTTCTATATGATCAAAGAAAATCACTTTCTAAAGGATAAGCAACAGCAAATTTAAGTCATCTGATCATTAACCTCCTGGGCATTAGACTATTTGCTGAGTTCTATTAAGAAACCAACTTCGATTAAATCAGTAGAGTATAGAGACACTGTTTCTTTTTATTCTTTCTAATCTTTTTAATCTTGTGTAATTTGGAGGCTTGTACTATTAACTCATTTGGTCTGTACTATTAACTATTAATTTAAACTTTATACTGGGAGATTCTGTATTTTATAGCAGAATGAAACACTTCTGAGCAAAGTTTCTAACAATACAATTTGGTATCCTTATCTTAAGGAACTTTATGACTCGAGTCTCCAGCCAGATGGGAAAATAGCTTTCAGTCCCTGAAAAAGTAGCAAAAGTTTTCCTTGGTGACGGTCTTAAGGTGGAAAGAGATTAGAAGAGAAGCACATCGGGTGGAGGAAGAACAGAACTTCTAGAATAAGAAAACACTTTTAAATATTAGGCCAATAACTATTTACTTTATTCGACATGAAAAAGGGTCATTAGTGGGCATAACGAAAGATTGCAAGGATGCTGGGTTGGTATATTACGCCATGTACTGGACCACTGACCTGGAATCTAAAAAGCAATGAAGGCACACACCTATTTGGACCACCACAGTCCTAATCATTGTTTAATGTACTCTCTTTCTCTCCCTTGTTCCTGTTGCTGTTTTGTGTTGTTTTCCTGGCTGACAAAGTTTATGGATCTTTGAATGGTTGGTTATGGTGTAGGGAATCTCTTCTTTCAGCTTAGTCATGATGTAGGGAGGACTGGGAAGAGGAGATAGCGGAGCAGTTGAAGTAAAATGCCTCTGACCAGCTTTTATTCTTTGGTTAATGGTGGGATCATGTAGATTTGGGGTGTTTTGTGTTCTTTTTAAAATAATTTCCGGGCTCTGATAATTTATTGACAGAAGTAGATTAACATAGAGAATGTCAGCATTCAAGATAAAAGTTTCAAAATGCATAAAATCAATACTAAGTGAGTGAGGGCTTCTCTAGTGGCATTTGCCACTGTACTCCTGGGCTTTGTGTATACACATCATTTAATGCCCTACAGAGCTAACTCTAATTTATCAGTGATACATTAGGCAACGAGAGTGCGATCTCTTTGGCTTACCTTTGGACCTTGTCATTTCTCATTTCTGTTTTGGTTACCTATTACAAAGTAACAGCCCCCCCCCACAAACTCAGTGATTTAAGGTATTATTATCTCCCATGTTCCGTGAGTTAACTGGGCTCAGCTGACTCTTGGGATCTTTTATGAGATTGCAATCAGATAGCAGCTGAGGCGGAGGAACATGACCAGATGTCCAAGATGGTGTCTTCATTTAAAGGCCTGACACCTCAGCTAGGATGGCAGGAAGAGCTGAGGATTGGCTGGGCATCAGTCTTGCGTGTTCGTGCTCTCTCTCTCTCTCCCTCTCTCTCTCTCTCTCTCTTTCTCTCTCTCTGGCTCTCTCTCTGGCTCTAAGAAGCCTCTCCATATGGCTACCTTGAGCTTGTTTATAACATGGTGCTATCATCATAGTCAGATTTCTTATACTGGGACTGGCTTCCCCCAAGCCACTCTTTCAAGAGACTGGAGGAGTCTGCGAGGTTTCTTTGAACACAAACTTATGCATGCAGAATCACTTTGCCAAATTTTGCTGTTCAGAGTTCCAGCCAACCAGATTCAAGTAGGGGTACTACACAAGGGAATGAATAGAAGGAGACATAGTTCATTGGAGGTAGGGGTGAAGAGGGCATTTTAAAGACGAGCTACCAAAATCCTCTTTGCCAAAAAATAGTCAAATTCTTCTACAACACAACTATTACTCCACTGCACCAAATACTTCTAGGAAACATAAACCTACATAACTCCTTTTTAGTAAGTGAAAATATGTGATTCTTGGTAACGTATTTTTAAGCAAAATATATCTGACATAAAATGCATGTCATCTGTTAATAAAATTACCTTGGTTGGCTTATGCACACCTGTTAGAAGCTGCCACTGGCCGAAATATGCTCGGATTATATAAAGTTAAGAAATAATACAATTCATCCCATTCCTTTCTAATCTTTGGTACAGTAGCGTATTGTACTATCTAATGATGATAGAATGTTTTGTTTATTGAAAGGAGTGGGAATGAAGTTTGTTGTTATTGTTCATTCATTCATTCCATTAACAAATTTTGTGATTACCTAACACAGTGCCTGTCTTATCGTAAGTAGTGGAGAACAGGGACACTTTGCTGCTGTGGTTGAATTGTGCCTTTACCAGTATAAATAGTAGCAATTTAAATGCTAACTATTTGAGTAAATGCATTCAGATATTTGGGCACTAGGAAAAGCTGTCCTACAGAATAATAGTAATAGTGCTGATTAAGCCCTTACTTTGTGCATTATTTCATTTAAATCTCCCCAGGAGGCCTTGTATAGAGGCAGACTCATTACCCCCAGTTTTATAGAGGTTGGAACTATGACTCAGAGTAGTTAAATGGTATTCCAAAGGTCACCCAGTCAATGCATAGCACAGCTTGGATTTGAACCTAGAACACCTACTGCGTGAAACAGCATTAAAATAATACCATTGCTGCCAGGCATGGTGACTCACACCTGTAATTCCAGCACTTTGGGAAGCCGAGACAGGCGGATCACCTGAGATTGGGAGTTTGAGACCAGCCTGACCAACATGGAGAAACCTTGTCTCTACTAAAAATGCAAAAAATTAGCCGGTTGTGGTGGCATATTCCTGTTATCCCAGATACTCAGGAGGCCGAGGCAGGAGAATCACTTGAACCTGGGAGGTGGAAGTTGTGGTGAGCCGAGATCATGCCATTGCACTCCGACCTGGGCAACAAGAGCAAAATTCTGTCTCCAAAAAAAAACCATTGCTTTTATTTCTAAATTCCACGTCTTTTAAGAAATGTTCTCATCATTTTAAAATGGTAAGGGAATAATCACTTAATGTTATAAGGTTATTTTATTTTCATTCATCTTTGGCCAAATGTGTTAACAACACCCACCCCTACTGCAGACTTCTTTTGGTTTCACAGTGACCATTTCTGAAGTCTAAGAAGTATGGCTAAAGAATAATGGAAACTTACTTTCATTGAAATTTTACTGTATACCAGTCATTTAGCTTAATATTTGAAAAGAAGTGCTAAGTTGCTATGGCATGTAAATTTAAAATATAAAAATAAAAATATGTTTACTATCAGTTGTGGATTCCAAGATTATTTATGGGAACTTCTATGGTACCTGGCCTAGGAAGAATATGGCTCCTAATTTAGGGGATCTCAGCAGTCAATGGAAGAGACTAAGCAGATGTCTCTGGCAATGCATTCTGATGAGGGACACTTAATGGTGAGTAGAAGGTGGAAGGGCTTGTAGAAAGAGTCAAAGATTAGAGAAATTCTTCTGGTTAAAAAACATGGAGAAAGGTTCCATCAAGAGAATACACCCTAGTAACGGCTCAATGTTTAAAGAGTTTAAGGACTTCCAGGGACTGAAAAAATTATGTGTAACAGGAGGAAGGGTGAGTGTGGAAGAATAGCCCAGAAGGAAAAATAGCCAAGAAGTCAATGGAAGGAACATTGCATCATAGGCCTTGCTGAGAAATTGGAATGAATGACAGTCTTTGAATAAGGCTTTGCTAAGTACTGTAGTTTGGATTCCAAATGCAGACATGAAGAGCCGATGAACATTCAGACATTTGTCTTTAAGCAAGACTTCCCCTTATGTTCTTTTAAGAGTTGGAAATTATTCTCTGCTTGGGAATAGTTTTCACTATGTTCCAGACATTATAAATGGCTTCCTTTATATTTCTGTATATTTATGATGTTGATTACAGCCAGGCTGATCAGAGTAAAACACCAGGTGTCATAGCATCCTAATATTTTTATGAATCATGCATTTATTCATTTATTTATGCATCTATCCAGGGAAAACAGATTTGTTCCCCACTTTATCAGTTCTACAGATTCAGATTCCTGTATATTTAGATAGCATTCCAAGGGAATAAATGTGCTCTTATAAAGGAGTGCTTACTTCAGCAAGGCAGTTTCTAAACCCTTTACTTTCTAGCCCAATTCTCCAGCTATTCTGGGGAAAAAAAAAAAAAAAAAAAGTAATTGAAATGGCCTCTCCAGTGTACCCAGATGGAAGATGGGGAAGTCCTGCTAGTTTTTTCCTCCACTGCCAACATAAACAGGGTGGAGCAGCTGAGAAGGAAGGCCACTAGTGGAGAGAGAAAGAAACAGTGTAGCAGCCAAACGACAGACCTCCTCAGCCCCGCCTCCTACCTAGGGCAGCAAAGACCTCTCCAGCCAACCCCAATTCTCTCTTTGCTTTGCACTCCGTCCAGGGACCTGGGACCTCTCGAGAGAGCACCCGTGAATCAAATAGTTGAAAGAACTTGGTCCAAAAATAAAACAGAACACCCAGTTGCGTTTTCCAACTTGTCTCTCTTCTGCTCCCTTCTTCAAACTCTTGATAAAAAGCAGCGGCGATGAGTGTATTGCAGAGCGCTTCTTGGAGAGTTATGGGAAGCACTGCTGCTTCCCTCAGCCCTGGTTTCACAACCTCAACTCAAGGGCAGGCCCTCCCTCTCTCTTTTTCCCCTCCTTCCACCTGACAGGGACCATAAATAACTGAGGCTTCCAGTGTTCCCAGCTGAGAACAAAGTTGAAAGTTTGCCTGGAGCACTCGGTGCCACTCCCCGCCTGGGCCACTGCTTTGTTTTCTTCTCATGTTTTTCTTCTACCTAGGTTGGCTGTTTCTCCATTCATATTTGAGAAGAGTCGCCTCCTAATTAAATGTAGCACTTCGCTCTCTCACTACCCAAGGGCTGTCTCGGTTACCCGGCTAGGCACCGAACCTTGGTATCAAATTACCGAAAGTCTACACCGGAGCAGTCCTCATATTTACATACAAATAACTCAGGGGCTTGCATTTATGTCACCATTCTGTCCTGCTAGAGGCTTGCCAGAGGAGTTTTTAATCCAATCAGGAGGAGCTTTAAAAGGATGTCTGCGGAGTGATCAAAAGGATCTTGATCTCAATTAAGTAGGTTTTTTTTAAAAAAAAAAAAAAAAAAAAGATTTTTGGGGGGGCCTGAAATTTTGAAAATCTTCGAACTCTGAGTGGGAAAAGAGGTGTGATTCCTCAGTTGCCTACAAGGATATCAAGATGCTGAGAGGAATTCGGCGGTGGTGAAGAGAGTGGACACAAACCAGGGAATAGTTTGCTTGAGCTGGTCTGGGAGGCCGATCCTAAATCACTGCTTAAGGAATTCCTGGAAACATCAGGAAAACATTTGATCATCCAAGCCTAGTGGAAATGGCTTTGCCGCAGAGTAAGATCTTTGAGTTGTACTTACCGTGTGCTGTTTTTGTTTGAGATGCAGTGAATGTGCAAATAGCCCAGCCGTAAATAGTTACTTAAAATAATCTCTTAGTACTGGGTAGCAGCAGTAGAAAGTTGATCTGTTCAGTTTTTACATTTGCAAAAACAGTAGTTGACAGTGTATTTTTAGACTTGATTGGTAGTTTAAAAGCTGAGCTCTTGCGGTTTCCTGAGTTTAAATGAATGGAAATTGTAAACAGTACCTAATGTAGGAATTGGAAAATATAGCTGGGGGAATGAATCACTTACCTTTGAGAAAACACAACATGGACCCTTTTGAAAACTCTTTGGCCAGTAAAGCTTGTGTCCAGAAGGAAGATAAGAGTCATAAGAAACAGAATTTGCCTGGTGGGGAAGGAATTTTTCTACAGCCTGTGCTACCTTTTGAGAAGGATGGGAAATGTCCCACAGGGCAAAATACAATCGAAAAACCTGCCTTGTCACTCGTGGAATGTGGTTGTTCCATGTGAGGTCATGTTTTGCACACGTAGCTAGTAAAAGTATTTTACATAATTAACTCTTTGTCTTGATAATGAAAGAGCAATTTATATAGTCCTTTGAAAGTACCAAAGTACCCTTTTATCTCTGGAGAAGGCTGCCTGGCTTTCCGTGTAGATTTGAAGCACTGGGGCAGTTGGGCTGTTGTTAATTTGGTAGGTTTAGAAACAGTTCAAAATCGATATGTTCTAAGGCTCTCCAACCAAGCAAGTTGTAGTTCACATAACTTGGTAGTTTCTTACATAAGCCTCAAACTGAAATCCTGTGTGTGAGAAAACCGTTTTTAAAAAATGTCTGTTTCCTTCCTACATATAATTTCAAGAACAGTAATGAAGAGGTGGTTCTTATTTTGCCATCCATGTCCATTCAAATAAGCTGCCCTCATCGTGGGTGAGGTGAGGGGAGGAAAACTCTAACTGACATAAAACATCCACCTTTCTAGTCAGTCAAGGCTTAAGGGGAAGCAAAGGGATAGGGGTAATGTTTTAAGATTCATACTTAATACCAGGAGGTGTTTCCGCTACTTAAATTCACTCTTGAAACTGTATACTAACCTTTACCTATGCCTTTTCCTTCTAAATTATCCAGGGGATAGGGGAAAGTGAATAATGGGGAATTTGCTAATAACCAAAGGAGTGGTTTTCTCCATAGCTGACACAGTCAAAAGAAAAGCTTTTGATGTGGGCTTGCTCTCTACATCTACAGGTGAAGATGCAATGACGGGGGACACAGACAAGTATCTTGGGCCACAGGACCTTAAGGAACTGGGTGATGATTCCCTGCCTGCAGAGGGTTACATGGGCTTTAGTCTCGGAGCACGTTCTGCCAGGTAATTCATTGTTGCTGTCTTTCATAGTTAATTTAAAACAACCATGATTCGTCATAAATCAAAATCATGTTCATTTTTCACATTATCCCAAAATGTGTTCTTTGGATGAAGATGTGAATTTAGTGAAATGTTCACGATGCAAATACACATGCTCTGCTATTTTCTTTTGTTGTTTGCAGTTGTTAATTTCATGTGATTGAACATGTTAATTGTGTGTTCTTTTTTCCCCCACTTTGCAGTCATGCTTCCTGCACAGTAGCAAAAGAGCTCACTGACAAAACTGGGAGAACCAATCTGAGTCACATATTTCAAAATTAAGTTTTGTTCCATACTGAAAAAAAGCATTATTTGCCAATAAGTAAGAAATATGTGTATAGATTGTTCACTATTCTTTGTTGCTGAAATAATCATTTACGATTAAAAGAGAGCATTTTTGAAAAAATTATATATTGTTTATTAAAGTTGTCCACCAAGTGTTTGAGTATGTCTTCTAAAACTATTCCATTATTTTGTTTACAAGGGACATGTTAGAAGTATGACAGTGATTTATCTAAAGTCACAGACAGAAATGGTGACAAATTCAGTTCTTACAACTGAAGTGGAAAACTTTTGTATGGGAAACCTTGACTTAAACTTTACTGACACTGGTTGAAAGAAACAGAACCTTGTGCAGAATTTGGAGACTTCTTTGCCCTAGTGTGGATTAACAGGGTGTTTGCTGACAGTCAAGTTATTTTAAAGCTAATAATTAAACCTTCTAAGTCAGAGCCCTGAGGACATTTTCCTATAGTTTAAGGATTTGTCGTAAAAAGTTTCATTGTCTAATAATGGCGTTTCCTGCAAAGTAAACCCTGGAGTTTATTCTCAGTGTAGTTGGTATGGCCAGTATGGATACTGAATTGATTTTTCTTCTATTCTGTTTTTTAAGTAGAAATTAGAAACTCATATAGCTTACTAAAACTTTTGCCTTATAAATAGATTTATAAAAAGCCTTAAAATCCTACTGCAGCAGGTGTCATTAACAGGAAGAGGAAAAGTAACTTTTTTTCTTTTTTTTTGAGTCAGAGTTTCGCTCTTGTTACCCAGGCTGGAGTGCAATGGCTTAATCTCGGATCACTGCAACCTCCGCCTCCCGAGTTCAGGCAATTCTTCTGCCTCAGCCTCCTGAGTAGCTGGGATTACAGGCACGCGCCACCATGCCCAGCTAATTTTTTGTATTTTTAGTAGAGACGGGGTTTCACCATGTTGAACAGGATGGTCTCGATCTCTTGACCTCATGATCCACCCGCCTCGGCCTCCCAAAGTGCTGGGATTACAGGCATGAGCCACCGCACCCGGCCTCAAAAAGTAACTTAAAAAAACATGCAATATTTTAGGTGATCAAAGATAGCAACAAGTTAAAATGGAAAATATGTAGAACTTCTAAGGTTCTTGAGATCCTTTAGATCTTGTTTATATCATAGAGATTTATAGCTTTTGAAATCCAATCACTAGCTTGCCTTCTCTCCAGATAATATATGACACATTTTGTGATCCATCATTTTTATGTAGAAAACTGCAGCAGCTGACCTCCAGTGACATAGGAAACCAGAATATCGCCCTGAATATCACCCTGTAATTTTTTTCTTAAGATAATTCCAAGGCTTTCACACTTCTAATTTTGATTACACCATTATTTGTTGCTATTATCTGTAACTCATTATTTTTTTACTTTGATGACTCATGTTATGCTCAGAGGCAAATTTTTTTAAAAAATCTATAAAGCCAATATTTTTAAGCACATTCTTAGAGTATTGTCAAGTAAAATATATTCTGAGTGTAACATTTTAAAAGGAATACATTAAATGTGTAACTCATTCAACCATAACATTTTTTTTCTTTTCTCCCTGTCTGATTTTTTGCTTTCTATTTCTTGTTGTTTTTTTTTTATTTCTTTTTTCTAAAAATACTTTAAAATAGTCCCAAGATCAGGTAAGAAGACATGGTACTTTTATAGTGTTTCTCTTCCCTTTCCTGGCTCATGTTCTCATTTTCTTTTCTTTAGCATTGTAATGTGCTGTGATGTGCTGTGATGTGCTGCAATGTGCTTTTTTTCTTTTCTGCTCAGCTTTAGAAAAATCAGGAAAAATTTCATGATTTTAAGAAAATTAGAAAATAAATATATAACAAATATTACTTACACAAAATTGACCAAATACTTAAGGAATTTCTTTCCCTTAACAAGTTTTTTTTATAATGCATGAAGTAATTAAAGAAATTTTATTGGGTTTGAAGAAAAAGTCCTGATGTGAAGGGCCATTTGTTTGCTGGTTGCTGTTTTAAGTTGTGCTAGGTATATTAGTATAAATTTAGAATTCTGAGGCATGTTTTCCTAACACTTCCTATATTTAACACTTAGAGTCTACTGATGGCTACAAATAAAATAGATGGCCTTACTTAAAAACGATTTAATACTTTCTAAATCCCCATGCAAATAATCTTTAATTTTAGGTTGAAAGTACTTAGAATGATTAAGGATTCAGAGTGAAGCTTGATAGATTTAATTGACTCCATATGTCTAATTTAAATTGGTCTGGAATGATCAGAAGTAGGAACTTTAGACATTATGCAAAACAAAGACATTCTTAGGCCTTTCGGTTGATAGCTCCCAGTTCTGGGCTCTGTTCTGCAGTTGGCACTCATAGATAAATTAAAAGAAGGAGGAGATGTTTCACTATGTATTTCTTGACCTCATGATCCACCCGCCTCGGCCCCAAAAGTGCTGGGATTACAGGCCCCGTCTCTACTAAAATATAAAAATTAGCTGGGCGTGGTGGTGCACGTCTGTAGTCCCAGCTACTCGGGAGGCTAAGGCAAGAGAATTGCTTGAACCCGGGGAGGCAGAGGTTGCTGTGAGCTGAGATAGTGCCACTGCACTCCAGCCTGGTGCCCGGTGACAGAGTGAGACTCTATCTCAAAAACAAAAACAAAAACAAGAACAAAACAAAACAAAAAAAAAAACAAAAAACAAAAAAAAGGAGGAGATGTTAGATGTTTAAAAAATATCAACAGATTTTAGAGGCATTTAAAAACTGAAATTAAAATGAATAGGCAGTTATTTTTTAAAACTTTTAAGTGTTTGTCCACATAGAACAGTGTTTCATACACCACCAGTGTTAACATATCATGCTACGAGGACCATAATTTGAAGAAATGAAGGTCCAATGCAAAGTGGCCAGCAACTTTCAAATCACACCACTGGAGCAAAATGTAACATTGTTATGAATACATAGAAGCTACACTAATAGTGTAGCCACTAGCCATTTATAGTTAAATTAAAACTAGTTAAATTCAGTTGTTCATTCACACCAGCCACTCTTCAAGTGCCCAGCAGCCACAGTTAATTGGACAGCTCAGATTTAGCACATCTCCTTCATAGTAGAAAGTTCTCTTGGACAGTGTTGAGTTAGAGAATTCCTGCTCTTACGAAGCTTCTACTGTATTTGAGGGAAGGTAAGAGACTAGAAACAGGAATGACAGAAAGGCTTGCAACTGAAACCGGGAAAAAAAGAGTAATGGGTTCCCTGATTGGGCACAGAGGGCCTGACCGTGCAAGTGGTCAGAGTCATGTGGCTTATCAGGTAAGTTCCTCTGTGCAGGAATAATGCTTATAATAGTCTTTTAGTAAGTTTTTCTGAATACACTAAATAATGACTCTGCAGAATAATGGTTGTGTGGGGATAAGAGAGATCCATCTGAGATTCTGGTGAAAGTGAAGGCTCCAATCCTAGAAGAATGTGCTTACCTATATGTGTAGACTCTTAGAATGATGCCTCTAATATCAGGAGGCTCTGTACCTTGATAAAAGGATACTTACTTTCTAGTTATCTTTAGTATAGCAGGCATTGGGGAAAAGAAATTGTTTTTTGCAAAGAATCATTTCTTATTTACCTCTTATTTATATCTTCTTTATCCATTTCCCCATCAAGCACACAAAAGGCAAGGCCAAAGCCAAAGTCTCACAAGTTCAACTGGTAAAGATGCAAGAAGCCACTTTTAGATCCAGATGGGTTTTTTTTGTTTTTTTTTTTTACCATATAGGCAGTGAAAGGAAGAAGCAAAAGGTGCTGGCTTCTCATTATCCTTGTCCCCTACACCTAAAAGGACACCAAAACAAAAGGGGCTGAATGTCTACAATGCTAGCTGTGGATACCTCATTGCTGAGGAGCCAATTCTAGACTTCAGCTAAATGGTTTATATTCTGCAGCTCTATTCCAAGGAGGGCAGAATAGGAAGCCTCCCACATCATTAGAAAGAGAAAGTGATAGAAGCTATCTCATGACAGCCTCCCAGGTGAGACGGGGAGGTGACTTACAGATGATCTCATGGAAGCTCCTCACCAACCTCCATCCTCTGAATTCCTGGAAGATCACAAGGTGTTCTATGAAGACTCAGATTAGCTTCATTTCCGGTTTTGCCTGAATGACATATGTGAATACGTGCAAGGTCACAAGAGTGACATGGCAGAACTGTTCTCCCAAGGGCCCTTACTCTATTGCGTTTTAGTTTAGAGGTCACTGTGATGAGTGGCATATCAGGATATCAGGGTACCTGCATCTGAGAAGTTCAAGGGCCATACGGAAGATTTGAAAGAGGCTGGAAAGAACAGTTGAAGGAGCAAGGAAGCAAAGAGTAGAGCAAAGAAAGAATATTTGCAGAAAAGACCAAATAACTATGCAGGGAATTTGAATGTTTCCTCAAGGCCAGGAAAATGGCAAAGAGGATCATGCAAAGTGTATTCACAACACTACTTCCTTCTGATGTTTTCTGTGAGTAGCAACAACAAAGCAGAGCCCTCAGGAAGTCGCAGAGACTTATAAACAGATCCATTTAAAGTAGACAAAATTCCAATCAGTAGCACATGTCAAGCAGACATAGACCAGAAAGAGGGGACATTCTAACATAAGATCTTGTCCTAGAAAAATCTATCAACTATCTAGAATTATCTGGTTCTTCTCAATTGTCATGTCGGTTCAACTTCATAGTGAAACCTCCAAAGTTTTCATGCATTTCATCTTCTCAAAATTGGCCTAATTTTAAACAAAATCTGATCGTAAGGTTGTCTACATGGAAGACGTTTTCTCAAATATAAGAGATTTTACTTTTCACTATGTCCTTTCAAGAACCACTTTTGTTGATATTTTTAGCCATCTTGCCTGTTCTTAAAGTTGCATGCATTAATTTTCTTTTATTCATCTCATCATCATCTACCACTGTTGAATGGTTAACTGTAAATACAACAGCCTCCGCTCCTTCAGTTCGGATAGGTCTTACACCTTGAACAGAAGCTCCTATGCACGGGACAGCATGATGATTGAAGAACTCCTTGTGCCATCCAAAGAGCAGGTATGCATTCTTCTTAACATATCCTTTGGTCATTAAACTTTCATCTGTATGATTTAATCAAGCTCTTTGTCTTATGACAAAAAATGCATTTCTGCGTGTTTGATTTTGCATTTGTAAAGCTTCTAGTACTGTCCAGTTTAAGAAACAAAATAAGTTGTATTGTAAGCAGAAATATTCCTATCTTCTACAGTGAGTCTCTAAAATTCCACAGAGAGGAACTCAGAAAGTCCTAGGGAATGTGGAGTTAACTTTCTTTTCTCTGGGTCAAATCTATTTTAGTTTTTTTAAAGGAGAGTTAATAATTATTGGTAGCTGAAGTTGCTGGTATTAACCTCATGAGTTTTATTTGTTTGTTTTTGTTTTTTGTTGTTGTTGTTTTGAGACGGAGTCTCTGTCACCCAGTCCGGAGTGTGGTGGTGCAATCTCAGCTTACTGCAACCCTCCACCTCCCAGGTTCAAGTGATTCTTGTTCCTTAGCCTCCTGAATAGCTGGAACTACAGGTGCACCACCATGCTCAGCTAATTTTTGTATTTTTAGTAGAGACGGGGTTTCACCACATTGGCCAGGCTGGTCTCAAACTCCTGACCATAAGTAATCCACCCACCTTGGCCTCCCAAAGTGCTGGGATTACAGGTGTAACCATTGCACCCAGCCTGAATGTTGTATTTTGCTAAATGAACTGTGTATATATATATATATATATATATATATATATATATATATATATATATGTGTGTGTGTTGAAGTTTGTTAGAATTGTTTTTAATAAGTAATTAAAGATGAGACTGGTCATTTTTTGTTCCCTTATCTTCAAAGTTGCCTTTGATGAGTATCTAAAGATGTGATAGCATTTTGCTTTCCACCAGAATCCCTGCTACATATATTTGGTGTTTGTGTAATTTTTTTCTTCCAATAATTGTGGTTGAATAGATAGTGAGTTACTTTAAGAAGTTCCAGCAACACAGTCTTCCTGCATGTGGGCCCAGGATGGTCCTAGAATAATTAATACATACATAATACCTAGATTTAAGTGTGTGCAGTAGTGATTTAATGATAGATGAAACTGTCTGGACAATAAAACTTTTAAAGGTGGCTTATAATATTTAAACAATGTAAATAATTGGTGAAATCATGCTGGGCTTTTTGACTTACTGCACAATGAAGGTGAATTGGAGCAGATGAGTAAGTGTTAGTCACTTATAGCCAAATTAGAGGTTAAGCAATAGGTAGACTTTTGGGACTCCCACATGTCTGCAGATGCTGATGTCTAGACATACACATGCGTGTTGTACTTCACAGGGACCTACATTAAATATTTTATTACTTTTTACTCTCTGGAACGTTCTTAACAAGCAGGCCTTACAGAGGTGAATACAGTGGTTATTCAGTGTTTGATCAGACAAAAAAAACACTTTTAAAAATGATTATAGACTGGGTGTGGTGGTTCACGCCTGTAATCTCAGCACTTTGGGAGGCCAAGGTGGGTGGATCACTTGAGGTCAGGAGTTTGTGACAAGCCTGGCCAATATAGTGAAACCCTATCTCTACTAAAAATACAAAAATTAGCCAGGTGTGGTAGTGGTTGCCTATAATCCCAGCAATGCAGGAAGCTGAGGCAGGAGAATTGCTTGAAACTGAGAGGTGGAGGTTGCAATGAGCCAAGATCACGCCATTGCACTACAGCTTGGGTGACAGAGCAAGACTCTGTCTCAAAAAACAAAAGCACAAAAATGATTGGCCAGGCACAGTGGCTCACACCTGTCATCCCACCACTTTGGGAGGCTGAGGCGGGTGGATCACGAAGTCAGGAGATCGAGACCATCCTGGCCAACATGGTGAAACTCTGTCTCTACTAAAAATACCAAAAATAGCTGGGCCCAATATTGCACAGCTGTAGTCCCAGCTACTTGGGAGGCTGAGGCAGAAGAATCACTTGAACCTGGGAGGTAGAAGTTGCAGTGAGCCAAAATCATGCCACTGCACTCCAGCCTGGTGACAGAGGGAGACTCTGTCTCAAAAAACCAGAAAAAAATCATAAAAACAAAACAAAAAAATGATTGTAGATGCATGTATTAGTCTGTTCTCATGCTGCTAGTAAAAACATACCCAAGACTGGGTAATTTATAAAGGAAAGAGCATTAATGGACTCACAGTTCCTCATGGCTGGAGAGGCCTCACAATCGTGGTGGAAGAGCAAGGGACATTTTACATGGTGGTAGGCAAGAAAAGAACTTGTTCAGGGAAACTCCCCTTTATAAACCATCAGATCTTGTTGAGACTTATTCAGTATCACAAAAACAGCACAGGAAAGACCTGGCCCCATGATTCAGTTACCTCCCACTAGGTCCCTCCCACAACACATGGGATTTGTGGGAGCTACGATTCAAGATGAGATTTGGGTGGGGACACAGCCAAATCACTTCAGTGCAGTAGCATGTCATGGTTTTTAAGTGGGTGTTAGCACTAGAGAAAGCACTTGTCTCAAATAATGAAGCTAAGTTCTTGGGTATAAGGTGTTGCCAGGATTGGTTGAAATTTTCTGCTTGGTTGACTGCAGTCATTACTTAGTCTATAATCCTGCTCTTTTTCATGTTCCCAGTTGAAATGAGATGACAGTGGATATATTGATAACACTTATGAGTATAAAAATGCCTTTTATTTTGCACACTCTAAGGAAACGCCACAAATCTTATAAAATCATAGGTGAAAGGAGACTCCCTGGCTATCAGTGACACTTTGCTCATGTAGAAAGCATGTGCCAGGGAATTCCTGATTAAACCTAATTGTAGCTTATATTTCTGCATGTTAACTTGTTACGGGTCAAGGGCCTGAAGTTGGAATCACTACCACCATCATTACTATCACCTCCACCACCACTACCACCACCATTACCACCATAGTTCCTCTACCGCCCAACTTCTGCACATCAGCGTTAAAGTAAAATGCAAGTGTTTGTGGTGCTACAAAATGCAAGTGTTGTGGCGCTTCTGAGGGTTTCTCACATCATTGCCTATTAACTATTACCAAGACCTACTTACCGAGGTCGACTGGAAGAGCAGCATTTTCTCGGAACTAAGGATTTGTGAACAGAAATAGAAGACAAAGATAATTTTTGAGAGGAAACTAATGTTCTTGTAGTCAGCTGTTGTTTCCGACTCAAAAATGCCTCTGTGGACATCATGAACACTTCTGTAGACCCATCAGAGGAAAGGAGAGCATAGGGCACCCTAAAAAGTAATGCTTCAAAGTGAACTTTAAGTTGATAATGTAAAAACAGGAAGTTGCTGTCTTTCATGAGCACAGAATAACCACATAGGGATTCCTTGTGGAGCCGGCATGTTTAATGAGCATATAACACTGCTCAGGGTCACACAAATCCAGGATAAACTGGCAAGAGATTTTGGAGGGGGAAATAAAAGGCAAAGACATTTTAGGGACTGTTGGGGGCATTTAAAAATGTCTTGGAGATATCTCTGTATATAAGAAATTTTCGATAATTTTCTCAGCAGTGGTAATTTTAGCATTGATTATTTTCTTAGCTTAACATTGAACCTACTCAGAGAATATTGGGTATGCATGCTGAAGTTTTCAGGAATTAAGCAATCGTTAATTCAGCTATTTATTTCCAAATAGTTCAGCCAAAACGCATGTAGATAAAGTTAAAGCAAATATAGCAATGTTAATTGTTGAATCTAGGTGGAAGGTACATGGATATTCTTTATACAGTTTTTCAACTTTTTTATTTGTGTGAAGAATTTCAGAATAATAACTTGGAAGAAGGAGGAAAAATTTTGAAAGAAGTGCATTAACTTTTTAGGTCTCTAGTGTTGAGACTAAAAAAGTTAATGCACCTCTGTCTGTTACTACAGATAAATAAAATTATAGGTATAGAGAAGGAGAAGGAAAAGGCTAATTCCTTAAAGGAGAAGCTGTCAGACAGAAGTGTCTAGATATACTGTGCAAGAGTAATGGGAAGCATTTACTTCAGACGTGCATTTAAAGACTTTGGAATTAAATGACAAAATCATTAATTTCTGTTTTTCATTTCTCTAATTTTATATTTATAATTTTGAAAATCTAGCTCTTCCACAGTAATAATTTTGTTGGAGGGTGGCTCACACCTGTAATCCCAGAACTTTGGGAGGCAGAGGCAGGCAGATCACCTGAGGTCAGGAGTTCGATACCAGCCTGACCAACATGGTGAAACCCTGTCTCTACTAAAAATACAAAAAATTAGCCAGAGGTAGTGGCAGGCGCCTATAATGCCAGCTACTCGGGAGGCTGAGGCAGGAGAATAGCTTGAACCTAGGAGGCAGAGGTGGCAGTGAGCCGAGATTATGCTGCTGCACTCCAGCCTGGGCGACAAGAGTGAGACTCCATCTCAATCAGTCAATCAATCAATATTTTGTTGGAAAGCATGAAAGAAGTTTTAAATATTTAGAATTCCCAAAGCAATGATATGTAATTTACTGTCAGATTTAAAACGACTCTGTCATTGCCCAGTTAAAGTTGCCTTGACAAGTAAAAAAAGAATAAAAATGAAGTCTCTTTGATGAGTAGACCTCACTCATACAAAGTACAGTTGCCTCTCTATTATCTGCTGATTAAGTAGTTTGCATATTAACCACAGTTTAAGTGCAGTTGAGACCCAGAATGATGAGTGCAGCCTGCCACCCCACCTTCTAGGGACCTGTGCTGGCTGAAGGCACACGTGGAGGCCAGAGCTAGGGGAAGGGAGGGAAGCAGAAGAGGTGGCGCTATCCCCACCCTCTGTTGGGCCTGAGCACTGATTAGTCTGTAACCTACTTAATTCCTTCCTGTACAGTAAAGAATAGTCTCTTCTATGACAGGTTATTGTGAACTTCCTATTCTTTTACCTTCTCTTTACTTCAGAAGTGCATTGAAATCTATTAGAATGAAGTGACAGAAAATTATTGGTTTGTGTCTTTCATTCCTCTGACTCTTTATTTATAAATTTCAAAATGTAGCCTTTCCACAG